TAAATTAATGGGATAGTTAACCCCCAATAATTAATTGTTACCATTTACTCCCCTTTTACTTGTCCAAAGCAGATTTGATTGTAATTTTTCTGTTGAATGATCATTAATAAAGACATTTTGACTTGCTGGTTGATGGTATCCATTGACTTCCATTGTAATCCTTATCTTACTATTAAAGTTACTAGATACCACTGGGTACCAGCGTGTCCAAATTCTTCTTGTGTAGAGTAAATATTGAGGTATTTTTAAATTTTTTGGGTGGATTATTCCTTTAAATAAGTTGTTTGTGGCTTAAATGCAAGTCTAAAGTTTTACTTAATTTGAATACTTGGGATTTTAAATATGCAAATTAGACCTGTCTCCACTGAATCACACTGATCTACTTTCACTTACTCAAGTGAAGTAGTCACTGCTTAATGGTTAGTTGATTAATCCAGCAATATACAGTTGAAGTCAGAATTATTAGCCCCCCCTTTTAATTTTTTTTCTTTCTAAATGCTCATTGGCGGCATTTAACACAAAATAAAGCACATAATCTGTACCTGAGGTGATCATTGTCATAGTAGTTTATGCTGTCTTTTTGTCGCGATGTTGTGGAAATCGAAAATAGAATTCGAAAATTGAAATTTTGCAGAACAAAAATTCGTACATAAAACTTTGGCTTTTATTGCATGTAGTTGATCTTGAATGCATCATTTGTTGCTTTAGATAAAATGTCTGTCAATAATCAAATGGTAAAAAAAACAGCAAGTAATCTTCGTAAAACAAATGCTACTTTGCACATCAATGTTCATCAACTACAGTATGAGGTTTAATATGTATTAATTATATTATAAACCTTACAATTTCGTTGGAGTGCAGTGAGTGCACTATTCTGTGCTTCTGATTGGCTGTATATAAATTTCTGTCGTTTTTCGTCTAGTGCAAACAGAAACATTTCTTAACACTGCAAATCTAGTCACATGGCATGTTGTTAAGACATGATGTTACAATGTCACCTGCTCACCTGATGTTTATTCTCGTAATATTTATATTATTTGCTAATTAATAACCACCTCATGTGGAACTCTGAATCTGCGTCTCATTTCAGAGTCTGCTACTAAATGAAAGTGCATGCTTTGAGCGTCTTTCTGAATGAATGAAAAATGCGGTTTTCCACCAAGGCAATATAATTACTGAAATATAATTGGCCAAACTGGCATTGGGCAGGTTAAAAGAACCAATACAAAGACAGATATTCCGGCACATAACACACATATTCAAAGCAGAATATCTGACTTTTTCAGATAAACAAGAATGTTAATTTAATATGTTTCTTAAATATCTGCAAACATATGAAGGTATGTTTATGCTTTAGAAGAGTCAAAAACTTGCATACAGCCCCTGTAATGAATATATGTATATATTATATTAGTGATAGGACAGTTAAAATAAAAAACCTTTTTGTTTTTTTTCCCGTTAGGTTTACCTAATGGTACATGTTTTTTTTTTTTATTGTATCTTGAGTGTTTATCACAAACCGTGAAACAAACTGAACTGACAATTATGTGAACTATCCCACTAATAATGTTTGCAATATCTGTATAAATGATTCATGCCTATTAAAATACCAATTTTTGTGCTGTCAGGATCAGGATGCTGCTTGTAGATGAACTTTTAACCCATTTTCCTCTGGTCTGGGTTCAAATTGAAGGAAGCGTTTGCATCTGTTGTCTCAAACTGGCAGGTTGCCACTCATTTTTAATTTTTTCGTGGCGAGACGTGATCGGCAGCTCTGTCTGGCAGTAATGAGGCACTGCCTCTTGCTCCGTATGCTGCGTCTTAGTGTTCCTCATCAGCGCTACGTCAACAAGACCCCGTGTAGCTTTTCACATCTCATTCTGATTGAGAGACTGGCAAAAGCGTGATGAGCTTTTCAGAGTAACTGCTTGATTTCGTGTGTGATGTGTTGTGTGGGTTCTCATTAGCTCTTCCATAGCTGTCTGCCATCTACATGTACTGTTTATGATTGAAAGCCTAAAACACCTTCAAGCTTTCACACCTATCCGCTTGTTAAGTGTGATGTCACGTGAAGTGGCTTCCGGGTCCAAGCACTTTATCAAACTGTATCAAATGATAATAATAAACAATTACAAAGTGATGTATTACTTTTGGAAATCACGATCGCAATATACAGGGTGAGCCATTTATATGGATACACCTTAATAAAATGGGAATGGTTGATGGTATTAACGTTCTGTTTGTGGCATATTAGTATAAGTGAGGGGGCAAACTTTTCAAGATGGGTGGTGACCATGGTGGCCATTTTGAAGTCGGCCATCTTGGATCCAACTTTTGTTTTTTTCAAAAGGAAGAGGGTCATGTGACACATCAAACTTATTGGAAATTCACAAGAAAAACAATGGTGTGCTTGGTTTTAACGTAACTTTATTCTTTCAGGAGTTATTTACAAGTTTCTGACCACTTATAAAATGTGTTCAATGTGCTGCCCATTGTGTTGGACTGTCAATGCAACCCTCTTCTCCCACTCTTCACACACTGATAGCAACACCGCAGGAGAAATGCTAGCACAGGCTTCCAGTATTTGTAGTTTCAGGTGCTGCACATCTTATATCTTCACACCATAGTGTAACGTTCCCTTGCAGAACGTATTTTGGATAAGTGTGTGCGTTCGTTTGTATGTGGGTGTGTCGTTTCATGCATGTGTTACAGGTACGAACGGCATTGGAGGATCCGCATTTCGTGCTGATGACGTTGGCCGCTGACGCTGGGTTAGCGCCACCACAATTATTATAGATGTTTTAAGGCTTTAAAACCCCTCACTACACTGTTTATACACAATCTCATGCAGGCATTAATATTTTCACACAATTTTCTCTCGTTTGAGCACTCTCAAAGCTCAAACTTTCCTAGAAAATTAAGTCAGGTATTATAGAATGAAACCAAACATCAAAACCTGTTGTCAGGCTCAAACATTTAGCGCTGTCAACAAAAGGTTCATAAATCTTTTTGACTTTTGTGTATATAATGTTGGCATCCAGTATAATGTTCTTTATCTTGCAATCACTGATTCCCAAAGCTAAAGCAGACTCCATTCTTAATGGGGTTGCACACCTGATGAGCCGCGCACAAGACAGTTGGAAGTAACACACACCAGAACCACATGGTCTCATGTTATTTGAAATTAAATTATTCAAATGGCGCTCCATGGCACGGCAGAAATATGAACAGTGGCATGAGTCATAGCAGGGTGTCACAGATGGTCACTTATTTGCATCGCCCTGTTATAAACTTATGTTTACAATTCTAAAATGCATGGCACTGTGTGTTGTGGCGCATCCAGTGTGCAACCCCCTTTATGATGGTCTTGCTGCGGACAGTCACAACCCTTTTTGCATCCCTGTTGGAACTCGCACTGCTAGCGATCGAAGATTTATGTTAATTTGGCAAGCTGAACGCACTCTGAACTGTACAGGAGACACGGAGGAGATTTATTGACAATGGTCTACAGCCAATCAGGACGCTGAATGGGCTGTAAAAAAAAAAGCAATCTGCAAGGCTGTGAAAGGTGAATCTTGTTATAGCGAGAGACCACTGTATATACAATAATATGCACATTTTATATACGTTCTTGAATATTATTAATTTGTTGTTGTGTGATTGTGTTCATGCAGTGGTTTTACCTTAATTGAGATCTTTAAACCAGTTAAACTCTGCGTCCGTGACCTCATCGACTTTCGCTTTAAGATTTAAAGGGCTAGCGTTGCACCAGACCCCCGTTAGTGGTTTCGTTTGAAAGTGTAGAATCTATATTTTATGCACAGATGCATCACTTTGGTTTTTATTCTACTGTACAAAAGTTATTTACACTTAAATACTCAGTATTTTGGATACCCGAGCTGGGTATTTTACATTGATTCATTTACATATTTTTCATGACACGTGTACAAGTTATAGCTCAAATGAAAGCTCCTGCCGGTGCTCATACAGTTCTAGCATTCTTTTTACTGAATTATATTCACATATCAAACAGTTGCCGAATGAATCGCCGTGTTTCCATGGTGCAGAAGTGAAAACAATACATTTATGATCAGTAAGCAGCCCCAGATAGCACAGACAGCTGTCATCTCTTACCTTATGCTGTGCTCTTCAGGGCCATTTCTCCTCTGTTTTTGAGGTGATGTGCATAAGTAATCCTTTTATATGTCTGACGTGGTCCAAACACAGTGAATTATGTTTGATCAAACAAAAGAATAGTGAAATATGAAAACAATGATCGCTCCCTGTGGCTTGTACAGCACCTCTCATCAGTTGGAATACAATAACTTTTGCATAGATTATGGTAGAGACATTTTTCTTATTTCCTATGATTACAGACATGTGCAGGAACAACCAACATTAATTACAGCATGCTAGACCACACAGAACCTAAAAGGTACACTTTCAAATTTGAGTTTATAAAAAAAAAATACAAAAAGCGCCTCTTTATTTAGGTGTTTATCATAAAACAGACAACATATACAGATATTTTAAACACTTTCAATGGTGTTTTATGAAAACTCAAAGGGTTTTCTTTAAAATGATACCAAATTTTTGCATTTACACCTCTGCATGTGGATTTGGGAAGCTTTTAAATTTGGGTAGGCAAAATCCAGGCGGAAATCCCAAAATACCAGCAGAGTTTAACTGGTTAAAATGCTTTGACTGTAATGAAATAATCGTCTAATTATGCATTTAAAAGTCTTGAGCAGCTTTTTATAACTAACGTCTTGTGCTGCTACAGTAATTAACTTTTTAAAAGCTTTGCCTGACTGTAGTTCAACTGCTTGAAATTCAGTTATGAGTAGCTTTCGGTTTGTGAAGTGTGAACAGCGATGTAATTATGCTTCCTACCTTTTGGAGCGGTTTTCATGTCGTGCCTTTAATGCCTTAAAATGCTTGTCAGCCCTCAAGGTTTTGGTGCAAAGCTTTTAATTGGTTCCCTCTCTTTCTCTTTGCAGTGCTCAAGCCGTTGGTGGATGTTTTGAGCGATCCGGACTACATTAACCGCATGCTGCTAGCTCAGTTAGAGCACAGGGAGCAGGTGAACGAGCATCATAAGAAAGCGTACACGTATGCGCCGTCCTACGAGGAGTTCATCAAACTCATCAGCAGCAGCTCTGACATACAGTTCCTCAAACAGCTCAGGTATGAAGCACACGGCGGCCCTGCATCTTTACATTTCCCATCATTCTGCAGTCATTGCATTGGTGTGCATGTAAAAAATAGGTTAAAAGGGGTAAAGCTCAATGTTTCCTATAAAAGGTGTTTAAAGGTGCACTGACTAAGCAAATTTTTTATAATTTTTGACCAGTGTTGGAACAAATCCCTGAACACATTTGCAACCAATCAGCAGTAAGAGGTGTGTCTTGTAACTATAGCGGAGATGTCAAAAAGGGGTGTGGTCATGTTTGTTTATCAGTGTGTTAGGTTTTTGGGCTTCAACTTGTCAACTTCATTTGTCAAAAGCTCTTTAGGACCGTGGCGCACCAAACGGACCTGTGTGTGTGTGTGTGTGTGTGTGTGTGTGTGTGTGTGTGTGTGTGTGTGTGTGTGTGTGTGTGTGTGTGTGTGTGTGTGTGTGTGTGTGTGTGTGTGTGTGTGCTTTAGTGTTGCAAGATGTTGGTTGCAATTATTAGAGCTGGCAACATTTTTAATTACTTATACATCTGTTTTACTTTATTTTTTATTGTTGTACTCTGTTTCAGCTGACAGTAAACACTCAGGGCTCTATTTTGACAGTCCATGCGCAGAGCGCAAAACACAGGGCGCAAACGCTTTCAGGGCGTGTCAGAACGCATTTTTGCTAATTTAAGGACGGGAAAATCCGCTTTGCGCCATGGCACATGGGCTAAAAGGGTTGAGTTTATTTTCTTAATGAGTTATAGGTGTGTTTTGAGAATAAACCAATTAGAGTCTAAATTGTTTCAGGAATTTCAATACAAGGAAAAAATGACTTTTGTTTAGATTTTGTTAAATTAATATTGGATTAATATCCCTTTACAGACATTTCCTGAACAGTTTTGTTGTCTGAGTGGCAGTAGTCGTTTCAAACTAAAATGGTCCTGTGGTCCACTACAGTGGACATCCTGTAAAATTAAAAATAAAAACAAAATGTAAAAACTCTAAATTGTAGATTTTTTTTTAACCCAAAGGATATAGGACATCACAGAAAAAGAAGATTTTTTTTTCTTTGGGTCTCAGGAGAATAAAACAGTCCTGTTGAAAGGTAACTTCTGTTACTATCTAGATTTAAGTAGTTTTCACTTATATTTTACCTTTTTAACATAACATCCATTGCATTGGTAATTTATAATCATCCCCAACTGAAATTTCCGATAATTTTCCGGAAAGGTCTGTATGTGTGCAAGGGGCTTATAACAAATGCCATTATATCTTTTTTTATGTAGTAAATGTATGTTTTTATTTTATTTTATAAATAATGTATTTTCTATTTGGGTGACCAAAAACTGAAGAGTGCCTGCCCGAGGGCTACCAGGAATTGAGAAATTTAGCAAGCCCTGATTATAATTCTGCAGAGCCAGAATATGAAAATAAAAAACAAAGATAAAATGAATATACTTTTCCATAAAAACCACAGAAAAATATTAGTTTGTTTAAATTAAAACGTAAATATTAATTTGTATTTGTATTATTCTTTTTTTTGGAGGGATTTTATTTTGAAATTCCAACTTAATTTTGTGATTTAACAATTTTATTTTTACTTTTTTTTTTTTTCTGAAGTAAATCCTGAAAGTATTTTTAACACCAAATGAGAGTCTGTTCCTGACGTAATCTGTTAGTAAATCCGTTCCCTTTAATAGGTTATTGATTAATCTGATTGTCTTTTAACAGCTTTAGAGTTGGCGGATGACTCACTAAAGCCGTCTGCATTTCCACCCTTTCGCCACATCCAGACCAATTTATTTCAGTGCAAAAGTAGTTCTGTAGGAAAGCAATTTCAGTTCTTTCGCTCAGACAATTTACTCTTTAAATAGGTGAAATGGAAGTTGGCGCTGTCATTTGTTGTTGCTTTCGTAGCTTGCAGTATCGAGTCGTATCACAGAGGACATTTGTCATTTGAGGTTTCTTCTGCCAGAGTTCAGATCTGGATGAATTATCTGCGACACGGTGACATTTAAAGGCTCTGAGAAACTTTTCAGCCGTATTGATCCAGAGACTAAAGGATGGAGATGGATGGGGAAGTGACAGGCAGGATCGGTCAGACTGGAATAAAAGCATTGTGATTATAATGCACAGGCATCATAAAGACTGAAAATGTGTCAGGAATCGCTTGTAGAGGTTTTTAGCAGTCAGCCCAATGACACCTGCTGTCAAAAGCTTTAGCAAAGACTGTAATTTACAAAGGTTAGAAGTCTTCAGTGGAAACGTGGCTTGAAGAAGAAACCCATCTGCCTCTGGCTTTGAGCAATAAGAAAAAAAAGCTGTATTGTTAAACTTCAGAAGGTGGATTATATTCTGTAGTTACAGCTTTCTAGAGGTGCAGATGGAAGGAGTGCTAGGAGAAGATAACATGCATACATATTGAATTATTTAGATAAAGGGATTGAAACATTTGGATATATCCTTTGTGTTACAAGTCTTTAAAACTAATGTCTTGAATCATTTTTCAAGTGGAGCACATGCTAAATTAATACTATATACACTACCTGACAAAAGTCTTGTCGCCTAACCAAGGTCCAGGTTCCCTCTCATCACATATTTAATACTTCACATATTTAATATACATTTACATATTATTTAAACTTTTATTATTATATACGCTACCTCATGGCTTAATTTGTGTCGGAACACGCCGGATCCGGATCCAAGTGGTGCTCGCTGCAGAGCCATTTGAGGAGAGGTGAGCTCCAGCGAGGGGGAGCTTAAGCTTGAGCTCCACCTTTTTTGCTCTTCTTCTACGAGTGATGTCACTGGGGGTAGGGTTAGGGGTGGGGTTGGTGTACGCATTAAAACAGCTTACAGGAGGAGGAGCGACAGCTCATGCTCCCCCTCGCTGGAGCTCAGCTCTCCTCAAATGGCTCTGCAGCGAGCACCCTCTCTCCGGATCTGGCACCTCTGAAATCTGATCTGGCACCTCATTTTACTGATCCTCCTCCTTAACAAGACCTTCTCCCCCGTCCGCTCTTCACTTTCGTCCTCCGTCCGCGACACCCCTCCACCCCCGCTCTCCACTTTTGTGCGTGAAATCTCCATCATCGGGTAACATGCCGGATCCGTTACCCCAATCTCGCAATTCACAAATTAAGCACAGCACTACCCCCCTTAGTTGTCTTAAAGGTTTAAAACTACTCTTGAGCCTATACTATGATAAAGCTACAATTCTCACAAATATAAATAGCCTTTCCTAAACCATGCTAACGTATGGATCGTCACCCACGTTCGTAATTAAAAATGTAGAAAATGTTTAATTAAAAATTAGAAATGTTTCTGTGGAAATCTTATATCCTTTATTAAGGTTAGAGTGTTCTCAAGACCATAAACATCCGCTGAGGTAAATCAAGAGGTAGTAAAAACTAGCGTTTCTTTATCCTGAGGTATCTGACTCTATTCACATATTGCTCCGGCCGCAACTATCGCTGTACTGGATGTGCGTTTGGCCGTTCGTGAAAAGGCCTATAACTTGACTTCTAGTTGATTATTTAGTATCAGATATGGCTCATATGAAAAGCAAAGGCCTCTAGATTACGCTTATTTTACCATAATAAAATATGATCATGTCTTGATTTTAAATGATTTAATTAGGACTGTAAGGTCTGACTCTGCTTAGACAAAAGTCTAATCACTGAACACTCATAATGTCCAGTATAGACTATAAAGTCATGCTGCAGTGGAAAGAGAATGAATATTGTGTCTGACTCCATCATGAGCTTGGAGGACTGCATCCATACATCTCTGCAATGACTCAAATCACTGATTAATAAAGTCATCTGGAATGGCAAAGAAAGCGTTCCTGCAGGACTCTCAGAGTTCATCAAGACTCTTTGGATTCATCTTCAATGCCTCCTCCATCTTAACCCAGACATGCTCAATAATGTTCATGTCTGGTGACTGGGCTGGCCAATCCTGGAGCACCTTGACCGTCTTTGCTCACAGGAACTTTGATGTGGAGGCTGAAGTATGAGAAGGAGTGCTATCCTGCTGAAGAATTCACCCTCTCCTGTGGTTTGTAATGTAATGGGCAACACAAATGTCTTGATACGTCAGGCTGTTGATGTTGTCATCCACTCTGCAGATCTCTCACACGCGCCCATTCTGAATGTAACCCCAAACCATGATTTTTCCTTCACCAAACTTGACTGATTTCTGTGAGAATATTGGGTCCATGCCGGTTCCAATAGGTCTTCTGCAGTATTTGTGATGATTGGGATGCAGTTCAACAGATGATTCATCTGAAAAATCGACCTTCTGCCACTTTTCCAAATGATCAACTAGACTATAGTACTAGTGAATCCACAATAAACACTTAAATATTATAACCGTCCTGTAAAATTTGTATTTAATGGTTATGCAATGTGGTGTTCTTATTAAAATGAATGCCACCTTCAATAAAAGCACTTCACTAGTTGTCTGTCAACTCCACAGTTTACCAGAGGCCTTTGTTTCCATGACGACTATACTGCTTTTGGGTTTTTCTTCAGTCGATCTGTCTTTTCACGTCTACAGTTGAACATCTCATCAGCCAGAGAGGGTGTTTTTGTAGACGGGCTTCAGCTCGACACGCACAAAGGGTTAAACAGTCTTTGTTTGAAAGCTGAAAGAGCGAGAGAGCCGCTAAAGGGGATGTTCATTGTGTCAGGGAAATTCAGCATCTAAAATTCGACCATCTCATTATACACACTAGGAGGAAACCTGAGGTCAGGTAATGAGATTGTTGCTAGGTGACACTGTTAAACAGAGCGCAGATTGTAAAAACAGCTTGAGTTGTGGCTCTTTTTGCTTTGAGGAAGCAGAGAAATAAAGCTTCCAGATCTCTGAAAAGCAGCTCTGTGGTGATTGAATTAGTGCAAAAATCTATGGAAGGGCAATGAATGTGATGCTGCTTTCAAATCCCACTTAGAAGTTACTTATATGTAATGCAGCATTTGTTATAAACTGCATAAAAATCTATACAGATCGTACTATTA